CAAATGCGTATGCACACATGCAACGTCGCGACTCACCCACAAATGATTCCAACATAGGGTGAATGAGTAGTAAGACCGTGGGCCGCTCAGAGACGATTTCGGACAAGGCGCGCTACGAAGATTTCAAGGGCGCCCCAGGGGGGTGTGGCGGAGAACTCCAAAGGGCAATCCAAGAGAATCCCAAAAGCGCCCCGCGAAGAGCCCAAAGGAGGCCCCAAGAGGGGCTTGAAGAGGGCCCCAAGAAGCCACAGGACGTAGTACAGGCGGGCCTCAACAGGCGTCCCAAGAGAGCACGAAGGTGGCCCCAAAGTGGCCTCCAGAGGGTCCTGGGAAGTGCCCCCACAAAAGCCGAACAGGTTCCGAAAAGGGCCCCCAGGCGAAGGCCCGACAGTGCCGCAAGAAGTGCGCCGAGGAGGCTTCAGAAGGAAGCCGAAGAGCGCTCAGAAAGAGCTCCAAGAGTAGCGCCAAAATTGCCCCGAGAGGTGCTCCAAGAGGGACCGAAGATGCCCACGGCCCCAGGAAGGCTCCAAAAGGGTGTTCTAGTTTGCACCGCCGCCCAGGGGCGGACAAATCTTGCGGCGCGCACGCTTCGGTTCCAGTTTGCTGCGCGCCCCCGAGGTGGACCAACACTAGTCGATGTACCACTGGATTTCCTGAACATGCGTTTATGCACCAAGCTCGTGACAAGTGCTCGAGGCCCCGCTCGCCCAAATGCGGCCGGATTGTTGTCTCCACACCGCCATGCCAAGTTCCGTGCGAAATGGGAGACCGTGCCGCGGCCTTCACACCGCCCTGTCGCAAAGATCCTGGGATACATTTGGATATACACACACGTATTGAGTCATGGATTCCTCCTCGTCCTCTTCACTCCGCCTCCTCGCCTTGTGCCCCCCTTACCCTTCTGCAGGCGCGAATCCGAGGTCACGACGCGCTCCCAAAAGGAAGGACTGAGTCTATCTTGTATCCAGTGAAAACATGAGGCAAACCTTGGGGTGTAATATTCATGGGCCTCCCCCCCTGACCCCTTCCGCCCGGCCGCGGCCAATTCCTCCCTCCTCCGCTCCTCTTCCTTGAAATCGCTCTCCTCTTTCCGCCCTTCGTCCTTTGCGTCCGTCCTGCTCCTCGTTCCTGATGGGTAATGCTCAGCATCTTCGTCCCCGTACGGGTTCCTCCTCCCCTTCCTAATTTATATCCTCTCCCTCCCCTTTGTCCTCCCCTCCTCCCTCTCCTCCTCATCCTCCCCTTCTGCCACGAAGACGGGGCATGGCGGCGGAAGCCAGACAGCCCCACATTGCGAGTAGGAACCCCGGCGCAAGTGTCCCGAACCAGAGTGCCAGCGGAAGAAGTGCACATGCCAAGCTGGTAAGTGCCTCGCAGGAGTGGGACGGGTTTTGCGTATTGGGGCCCTCTTGAGGGGCCTCTTGGGGTTCCCTTGTGTTTGCTGGGGGGGGCTCGCCGTCGTCGCCGTCGCCGGCGCCGGCGCCGTCGCCGACGCGGCCGCCGTGGTCGCTGTCGTCGTCGTCGTCGTCGTCGTCGTCGTCGTCGCCGCCGTCGTCGTCGTCGTCGTCGTCGCCGTCGCCGCCGCCGTCGTCGTCGTCGTCGTCGTCGTCGCCGTCGCCGCCGCCGCCGCCGTCGTCGTCGTCGTCGTCGTCGTCGTCGTCGCCGCCGCCGTCGTCGTCGTCGTCGTCGTCGTCGTCGTCGTCGTCGTCGCCGCCGCCGCCGCCGTCGTCGTCGTCGTCGTCGTCGTCGTCGTCGTCGTCGTCGTCGTCGCCGTCGTCGTCGTCGTCGTCGTCGTCGTCGTCGTCGTCGTCGTCGTCGTCGTCGTCCTCGTCGTCGTCGTCGCCGCCGCCGTCGTCGTCGTCGTCGTCGTCGTCGCCGTCGTCGTCGTCGTCGTCGTCGTCGTCGTCGTCGTCGTCGTCGTCGTCCTTCTCGTCGGAGTCATCCTCGGGTGGTGCTGGAGAGCGCCGAGATCAGTCACATACAGGAAGAAGCCTGTGGAGTGTTCTCTGCGTGTGCCACTCCGAGAGCCCGGCGCCCCCTCCTGCTACCGTGTACCGTGCATGGGTTACGTGTCAGAAGCCGTTTTGAAGCTTCTGGGGGCCTGTTCGGGAGTCTCTCTTGGGCCTCTTCGGGGCATCTTGTGGCTCTCTTGGGGTATCTTGGTGGCCTCTTGAGGGCCTCTTGGTGCGGAAGGCTCGACTTGTCGGTTCGCGTTCCCCTCTTCGGCTCCTCTTGATGCCCTCTTGGGCCGCCGTAGGCGCCTCTTGGGCCGTTTGGGGACCCTCTTGGGCTGTCTTGGGGGCCTCTTGGGGGCCTCTTGGGCCCTCTTGGGGCGATGTTGGAGGCTTCTTGGGCAGTCTTGGTGTGTCGGAAGCCCGAAATCGCGAGAACGCGAAACAAATAAAAGAAACACAATGAAAATCAATGATTTTGGTTCCATGGGGCCCTCTTGAAGGTCCTCTGGGAGCGGTCATGGGGCCTCTTGGGGGCCTCCTGGGTCACCACGGGGTCATCTTGGGCGGCTTGATGCGCTCGTGGGCCGTCTTGGCGGCCTCTGGGCGTCCTCCGCGGGCGCCGAGGAGGGCCCTCGAGGCACAGGGAACGCCCTGGAGCGTTCAAAAAGGCCCGCCGGCGCCGAGGACGAAAGTGGGTTGCGGGGGGGGCGGGGGGGGGGGGAAGTTTTGAAGAAGTGTGCTGCCCCCCAGTCTGGGGAGCCGGACGCCGCTTATATTATATATGCGTTTATGTATTTATGTTTTTGTTCTCTCTCTCTCTCTCTATAGATATGTCTCTCTGTCCGATCCCAATCGCTCTATCGAGTATATACATATGACTGTGATGTTGTCTACCGCGATCTGTTTGTTTTCTTCTCTCGTTTGCCTCTCTCTCTCTCTCTTTCTACTTTTCTCTCTCTGTCTCTCCCTCACATTATACGCTGCTTACCTTACCCACCTGTTCAACTCCTTCTGGTTTCTTCTTAGCACTAATATACTCTAGCATTATTTATTTCTCTCTCTCTCTCTGTCTCTCTCGTTCTCTCTCTCTCGTTCTCTCTCTCTTCTCTATCTCTCTCTCTATGTATAGATCACCTACCTCTCTTTCTCGCTCTCTCTCTCTCTTTTTCTTTTTATCTCTCTCTCTCTCTCTCTCTCCCCCCCTCCCTTTATATGTACGCAACGCTGCGATCTATTATCCGATGTGCACTTTCTACTCTCTACTCTCTCTGGTTACATATGCTCTCCGTCTCTCTCTCTCTCTCTCTTTTTCTCTTTCTCTCTTTCCCTCACTCTAACTCTCTCTCTCTCTCTATGTATTTCCTTGATCCTTCTCTCTCCCTGACTGTCGCTCTCTCTCTCTCTCTCTGTCTGTGTTTTTTTCTTTTTCTCTCTCTCTCTCTCTCTATCTCTCTCTCTCTCTGACTGATACTACTCTGCGTTCAGTTCCGGGTATCTCCCAGTTCCAGGACCGAAATCGGCCCAAAACTCGGGACCAAGACCATAGGAACCAAGCCGCCCGGACCGGCAGCTTCGCCAAAACCGGGAACCAGGAACCCGATGACCTGGCCGCATATAGAAATCAGCCAGGTATTTTCGCCGAGTCCTTCGAGTTAGTGAACTCGCTGGGTGGGAAAACAAGACTGACATATCAGCTATTGGAACCCTGCATGCGTAAAACTAATACGTGGGAAAGGGGGAGGACCCCAACGCAAATGCAGGGGAACGGGGAAAATATAACTGATACTGGATACTCCGACCCCGCCGGCGTGTGCGAGACGCTGTTCCGTTTGATCCGTTCTCGTCGTCGTCGTCGTCGTAGCCGTCGCCTTCGCCGCTGTCGTCTCCTTTCCGTAAGCCGTCGCAGTTTTCTCCTGCGCCCGTCGCAGCTTTGCGCCTCCTTACACTAGGCGTTCCTCCACGAACCCGCCAGCCAAAACGAACTAATCGAAGGGAATCCCAATTCCTTGGTCATGTCATTGTCGGGGGGGTGCCAGGAGGGATTCTGGGAAGGGTTCGACGAGAGTCCTGGGTTCAGCGCCCATCAAACGGGGACTCCACTAACGGGTACTTTGGCCAGTGACCCAGCGAACCCAACCCTTCCCGATGTGGGCAACGCTGCAATGCCAGAAAGAGGCCCTAAAATGGCAACTTTCGGCAACATTTCAAAGTACCCGTTAATAAGTACCCGTCACGTCTCCGTTGATGGGTCAAAATGCTACCCTCCCCGGGTATTGGGAGAGGCCCCCAGGACACTCCAAAACGGACCACAATTGCCGAACGAACGGTCCAAGACGCCATCGATAGCCTCCAGACGGCCCAACAAGAGGACTCCAAGACGCCCCAGGAGGCTCCAAAAACACTCCCAAGAGGACCCAAAGAAACGCACTTCATTGATCTTCCTTACGTGTCTGCCAGATTTTGGAAATCTCGCATTTGTCGGGGTGGCGTCGAAGCGGAGCGGGGCGGGGCGGCGGCCAAACATCTGTCCACCGGGGAAAAGGAGGAGGATGAGGAGGAGGAGGAGGAGGAAGCAATTGAAGAGGGAAAGGGCGAGTCCGCCTGGCCTTACAGAGAACGGGTAGGCTGCACCTCACGAGTCGCCCCATCTTCTGGCGGGGCGCCCGGTGCACCTGCGCGCCACTGTCCAGCGCCATGGCTTCCAATTCAAGGGTCTTTCCAGGTTGCCGCCCTGCTAGTTCCCGCATGAAGAACTCACGAATGCCACTCAACACTCGGCAAGAGGTCCTACCAGATCGTCAAGTGGTACCCAGAATTCATCCTCTCTCCCGAGCCCGTTCCCTTTTGTCCAGCCTCACAAGGAACAGGACGAAGAGAAGGACGAGGGAGACATGGAGGAGGAGGAAATTCAGGAGGAGGAGCAGGAGTTGAAGGAGGAGGAGCAGGAAGAGAAGGAAGAAGAGGAGCAGAAAGAGGCGATGTAGAAATGAGGGAGGGGCACGAAGAAGGGATGGGGAGGGGGCGATGGGGGGCGCCAGGAACGGCCTGCAGACACACCCAGCCCTCCGCGGCAAGGTCGGGAGCGCAGAGCAGCTCCTCGGGCCGCAGGCCAGGAGGGTGAAGGAGCGAAGGAAGGAAGGAGAGCAGAGAGCGTGGAGGAAGGAAGAGAAGGGGCAACGATAACAATCCTGTGAACTCACAGGGACGATTCCTCCAATGCCTGCGTTTTTGCTTGATTGGGGAAATCATGCACGAGGCTCGAGCGTTCAAAAAAGCGCGGTTGCAAAACGGGGTGGCTCGAACTAGGCACACCGACGACACAACATGCGAACACTGCAACAGCACGAAACGTGAAGGGCTGCGAACGCCGCGCGCTCGCACCATTTGGGCGAACGCGCACACACGTCTTAGTGCTGTGCGTTGTCAAGGTTCAAGCTCCCGAGGAAACGACAACGAGCTTCCTCAGACCGCACAGATAATCGCGCACCATCGGTCACGCTGAGAGACGAAGGGAAGAGGAGGCGGAGAAAGGAGGAGGACTGGACTGGACTGGAACGCTTACGACCCTGATGGGTACCACTGTCGTGCGATGCTTAGCAAACGAGCACGAGATATGTATAAAGGATATGCGGATAGCACGGGGCTATAGCCTGCAGCCTCGCTGGGGGGAAGCCTCTGGCCCAGAGCAGGACCGTCCAAAGGGGAACGGCCCGTGACGGCCTACATGGGCGCCATCCTCCCAGCGGCAGGCTCGCAATTAGAAGAGAGTCGGAAGTCTCCCCCAATTCAATCCTAGGCCACGGCCCAGCAACGACACGACAGGGGAACGGCGGGGAACGACGGGCGGGGAGGAACAGGACACCGCCAACACACGCAGACACACACCCACGCACACACACGCACAAGGCCAGGAGAAGGAGGAGAGCAGGCAGCAGCAGAAGCCGCGGGAGAGAGGAAAGGAGGGAGAGAGGGCAGCAAGCAGCGGAGGGGGCCGTGGCGTTAAGTGCGAAACTCAGTCTGAACCTCTATGTTCAGTGACGGTGGTGGTGGAGGGGGAGGAGGAGCAAGCAGCGCACTCGAGGCACGCGCATCAGCAGAGAACGAGGAAGAGCCGAGGTCAGTGGAAACAGTCCTGACCTGGGCAGCTCTCTGGAGAGCCTGAACCACCGTCAACTGAAACTCTAACGGCTCCTGGTAATAAGCCTTGAATCTTACATTCCCTGAAACATATTCTAAAATAGGGGCCGTTGATTTCTCTTGCAACTTGGCCAACTGGAAATGTCCTATGTGGCCTCCTTGGGCCAGTTCAAGCATTCTTATTGACTGATTAATCGACGACAGACGAGCAGGCTGCCTAATCCTCGAAGTGCGTGTGAATGGTTTCGTCGGTGCCGTCGCAGCAGGAGGCGTCGCCGCCGTAGCTAGATCCAATCTCTGAACCAAGGAAGATGCCTTCGCAGCAATAGGTGTTGCCACCGTAGCAAGGTCCAATCTCTGAACCAAGGAACCGATCCCTGAGCCAATCTCTGAATTAATATTGTCACCCTCTAATCTGCCAAATGCTTCTGAATCTCTTCCTGAGCCATCCCGAACTTGGCCAGCAGACGCTCTGCGTCCCTCTCCAGCGCTCCCTTGGGAGCAGCTCCTGCCTTCAACTTCCCTTTCTCCTGGCCGATGCAGATGTGCAATGCTGAGTGGATTGTCATCAGTGCTGAGCCGTCGACCGTGACCACCTGACTCTGGATGAATGGGCTCATCATGAACTGTAACTTGTACGTGTCCGCCTCCTTCTTGCCGCCCTTTTTGTCGAACCAGCACGCCCTGATGCGACAATAGCGCACATGGTCCGATAGTGTCCGAAGGGTCTCCGCTTTGTCCTCCTTGATCGTCTGCGACCAGTAGTGCTTGAGTACTGCCAGCGCCTGCTTCACCGCGGGTTCTTGACTGCCCGCCAGCGTTGCCAGGAAGTGGGTAACTAGCGCCATGAATATGTGGGGCCATGGAGGCCCGTTGTCGTGCTGCTTGCCCTGCTCCTTGCAGTCCATCGCGTAGTCTTGGCCAGCTGTCTTCATCACTCCCACGAGGCCTGCGGTGGCTGGTAGGAGGAAACAGGTGAACGTAGCGCCCGTGATTTCCGCGAGGTCTCTGGCATTCGTGAGCGAAAGCCTGCACAAGACCGTGAGCAGGGCCGCCATGATGCCACCCTCCTTGCCTTTGAGCTCCTGGCGAGCCTGATGGACGACCTGCTGCTCCAGCCGCTGCCTTTGGTTGTCCCCGCCTGTGGCCTGGCTGGCCTTGCGCTTGTTGCCGAGCTGCCAGGCTGGGGCGCTGGCCATTGCCACCACCGTCGAATAGTAGCGGTAGCCTTGTAAAGTGCGAACGAATGTGCCGTGAAAGATGAGAAGGGTCGGAAACTTTAACCTCACACAACGGACAATCCGAAGATAAAGGTGTAGGTGTTCGGAATGTCGTGCTGAGATTCACCATACATACTCCACTCTGAAAAGAATCCACCACATGTTTGTAAGCTGAATTTCGTGATTCAGACACGCTGTTGCACACAAAGCACTGGTTGTTAACCACGGCGGTCCCCAGGATCGATTTAAGAAAGGAGGAGGAGGAGGAGGAGTAGGTGGAGGAACGGGTGGAGGAGGAAGAGGGGAACGATAAAAGGGGGCACTGTTTTTTTGGCTGGTGGCGGGACTGTCTTCCGGATGGCGGCGGCACGGGTGCTGGGCTCACTGCGTATCGACCTCGTCGATCGCGGTGTGGATCTTGCGCTCGAAATCTCTTGGCGGCGCCATTCCCTCGAGTTGGTGTGCCTTCTCGCGCTCCAGGAGGGAAACCGAAATCTTCCGCCACAGATAGTCGCTGTCGGTGCCCGCCGAGGAGTTAAACTCGAGGCGTTCCACTTTGGTGTTGTACGCTGTGCAACAACGGGCGCAATGAATTTCCTTCATCGAAGGTTGCAGGTCGACTTTCATGTCCGTGAATATGTTTTTCGCCGTGGCTATGCAATTATCGAGGTTGACGGCTGCAGGAAACTTCAGATCCTGCTCATGAGGCCTGGCTCTGGCCAACAACATCTAAGCATGCCATGCGTGGCCACGAGGGCGAACGAGGGCGGCGATCTCCTGCTGTTGTTGGTCCCGGGTGTAGGCCTCCGCCGTTTCCGCATCGTTCTCGGTAGGACTCTTCCCCTGGAAGAAGCGTTTCAAAAACTGTTCCTACATCGTTCTGCCCCTGGGGGCCCTCGCTGGGCCCGGGGCCATGAAGAAGCTACTCGGGGCGAGGCACCGGCCCGAAGGAAGGGGTCGAGACTTTCGGGGGCCCCGCACAGAAATATCAAGGGATCGGATCTATGGAGGGGATATAGAGGGCGAGGGAGGGGGGGCTGTTTTGCTTCGAGGGTGCATTGGGATTCTCGGCCGTGAGACGGCAGCGCCGTCGCGCGTGCCTCTGCCAGTGGGCTTTCGGGCCAATGGAACTGGGGCCGCGGGCAGGAGTTCCATGCCGGGAGACAGGGGGGGGGAGGAGAGCGAGGAAAGCGAGCACAGCAAGGAAAGAGAGGGATAGAGGGAAAGAGAGAGGGATCTGTATATATATATATATATATATATATATATATAGGAAGAGAGAGAGAGAGAGAGAGAGAAATAGAAATACGCAAAACAACAACCAAAACAAACGCGCGCTTGGGTTCTAGCGCAGTCCATGCCAGCCTCCACAGGATCGGATGAGGTTGGGCGCCGCCCCGCAAGGACCACCACATGAGACTGCGCTTCCTGATGGGCGCGTCAGAGGCCGCTGAAGACGGCCCAAGGAAATGGTGCAAGGTGGCCGCGAGGAGGGCACAGGGCAGTCGAAGGGGGGGTGCCCGAAGGTCCTCAAGATCCTGGCAGAACCATGCTGGGAGTCTCTCGGGACGCCTTTGGGGGGCGCTTTTGGAAGGCTCTTGGGTTTCTCTGGGGGGGGGGGGCCTCTCCGGTTCGTCGCGGTGTCAGTTTGGGCGCCTTGAGGGCCTTTCGGGCCGCCCTGGCGGCCTCTTGGGCCGTCTTGGCGCTCTCTTGGGTCTCATTGGAGCTCTCTTGGGTCGCATTCCGGCCGTCGCGGGGACCGATTGGCGCTGCCTCCGGGGCCCCGCGGGCCATCTTGGAGCGTTTGAAGTTCAAAGAAGCATGTTTGTATATCCATATGTATGTGTATATATGTATATACATATATATATATATATATATATATATATATATATATATATGTGTGTGTGTGTGTTTATAGAGAAAAACAACAGCAAACAAACAAAACGCGCGCCTCTGCTTCGGGCCGCTGGCGACGGCCTGAGGGCGCCCGGCGGCGCGGCCGCGCGCGGGCAGGTTCGCCCCGTCGCGGTGTCTCCCGCGCGGGCAACATCGCGAGAAGTCCTCCAGCCCGTGACTCTGCAACCGGGTGGGCCAGTCCCTGCTGGGGCAGGCAAAACAGCGGGCGAAAACTTATAAAATCGGACCGCGAAGACCACGGACCAGCCTCCAAGGTGACACCAACAGTACGGAGCATCTTGCGACGCTTACCACTGCCAAAGAGCACTTGTAAAGGGTGCCCCTCGTCGGGTGGGCGCAGCGCTGGGCGAGCCCTCGACTTTGGCCGTGGCCCGAGTAGCACTTGCACGTCAGAAAAACCACCAAATGGGCGACATCGCTGCACGCCAGAGAAATACAGCTGCGCTGGAGGGCCCTGGGGGTGGAGGCATCGAGTCCATTGATCTCAGAGCACACTCCAGCGGCTGGCGCCGCCGTGCCCCCGAGGCAACTCCACCGCAAACCTGCTTCGCGCGGGTCCAAGGGTGCTCGAACTGGGCGCGCGGCTCGAACGATTTCCGCGCATGTCTGACAACGCTGCGTCCTCCCCGCATAAGGCCTGGAATAACGGAGCTGCTGCTCGAAGTCTTGACCACATTGATTGACCGCGTTAAGGCAATCACTATAAGTGTCAGACATGACGCTGGATCGAGCATGGATCTATAGCCTGAAACTCCGCTGCATGGGGGGAAGCCTCAATCGGGCAGGGGGCAAGACCGATCGGCCTGCTTACTACCTCGCCGTCCGCCGAGATCTGCGTCGCCCCCCAGCCTGCTGTCTAAAACTCAAGGATCCGATGTCCTTCTCAACTGCCGTCGACGAGAATGCTACCCTCAAAATCTCCATCGCCCCTGGGCTTGTCCTCCCACGCGAGCTCAGTGGTAACTGCGGGAGCCGGCCCAGCGCGAACGTCAACCTGGCGCGGACAAGTACCTCTGAAATGCAACGCCATCTCTTCATCACCTGGAGCTGCCAGGGCAGTCAATATCAAACTGGTCGGCAATCTCACGCCTCGCGCCCATGTAAGTAGGGAAGCCCACATTCGATGGAACTCGGAATCGTCTTGGATCCGGAAAACGGCGCGCTTAGTTGAGGGGGCCTGATGCCCTGCAATCAGTGTGCGACTCGGAGCCCAGATCGCGCCGCAGGCGAAAGATTTCACGAATCCCCGAGCGAGCGGGGGCGATCGCTCCGATCGGGACTTCGCCCGAAAGACATCAAAACAAAACGCGCTTGCAATCCGCCTGGGCTCACGTCGCAGCGCCCTGCTCACGGGCTCCGCGGCAAGCGGGAAGCAGCGTGCCCTTGGGGAGCGCAGGCGAAATATGCAGTAAAGTAAACCCCGCCAGCGTTCTTGACAATGACAAACGAATCTCCCAGATCCGAGGATATGCGTTTGAGCAAGAAGCAGAAATCAGATAGAGGCCACCGAAGCTTTCCCCAATCCTTGCGCCCCTGGTCCCGGGAATCAACCTCCCGCGCGTCCCTCACCGCCTAGAGCGACGAAGCGCGCGGGCCCGAGTGCGCGCGCGGGCGCAGCCCGCATTTCTTGCGCGCAGCTCAAGGCCGGAGCCGCTGCGCATCTCCAGGGCGGATCGCCCCCCAGCGCAATTACAATGGTAAGCGATCGCCCCGCGGCCTGTGGTCGGAGAGCCTGCCCAGCGGACTGTCGAATCTGGATGAACCAACTCGCGCTCGGGCGCCACGAGCACGCAACGAAAAGCACTCGACGCGTGGCGAGGCGCCTGTGACGGAGATGCGCGCGGAAAATCTGCCGGCTGTGCGTTTGGATGGCCAACCAGACTCCGAACTGTCTGGGACAAATTATCCTGGGTCGCCCCGCCGCGTCGTCGACGCCCACGTTTGCGGCGCGCTCCACAACGGGACCAACTAACTCGTCCAGACCATCCCCGAGCTCTGCAGCTGCAACATTATCCGAGCAGACAAAGTTCGCCTTCTCCCAAGACATCCCAGACGAAATAAAACGTCGCAGAGGCCTCCATGACATCCCAGATAACTTCCTAGACAGAAGCTACGCCGTTGATCCCCGAGTCACCTATGCGTTGACCGAAATGGGCCAGCCGAGGCAACTGCATATTGCGGAAAGGACCTATGAGATGCACTCGCGCGAGGCTGGTCGCGATGCTGCAGCCCACGACCACTCCGAGCAGGGCGCGGTGTAGGCCTGAGACCAGTCTCGACAAACTCAGAAAACGGGCGCCCCTGTAGGCGTTCACGCAGAACTGGGCCACGGCCATCATGAACCCAGGATTACTTCGCTGGTCCAAAAGACGGTGGAACTAAAACGCGCCTTAGAATTTGGCCATATCCCACAGGACCGCGGCCGCCGAGGCTTTGCCTAACAGGGCGCGCCTCCGCGCGACGTCGGCCGCAGCCGCAGACGTCGAACCCGCGGAATAGGGCCGCGCATGGGCACGCCCCCACAGTTGATCATGAATTCTCCGACGTCTGCGCCACCGCCTATAAGGGGAAACGAGCAGCCCGACGTGGAGCCGCCCCCCCCCCCTTGGGGTTTCATTGAAGGATATACCTGAGACGCTTTCCCCTGAGACGAAAGCGTGGACACAATCTCAGAGGGAAACAACTGGGACGCTACTGAGACGGCGTCATCAATCAGTGAGCCATTTGCAATGCTGCATGTGGAATCCGTCCACACTCTGGGCAGCCCTAACAGGGCAACGAGTCCACACGGTACTTGTGAAGTCGGGCTCGAGGCACGTGAGGGCCTCTTGCACTCCCTCCTGCCATCGATCCAGCGGCGCATCCACCGCGACCCTCCAGGGGCCGCTGCGTTTCTCCGACTCGGCACAGAAGAGCGACAGCGGATCCGGCATGATGGTGCGGGTTCCCACCCTGGCGCTAACTCGCGAGCATCGTGGGCGTTGCGCCCTCCTGTGTCGGTGTTTAATACGTAGCACCCCGCAGTAACGAATAAGAGCGATGGGGCGGCGGGCACGCCGCAGGCGCAACAAGCATTCAAGCTATGCAACGAGCCCGCCGCAGGCGCCAATGTTTTGTTAAAACAATGTAGGTGGGTCGCGGGTTGGGTCGCAGGTGGGTCGCGGGTGGGTCGACGGCGGGTCGCGGGTGGGTCGCGGGACGGGTCGCGGGCGGGTCGCGGGTGGGACGAGGGTGAGTCGCGGGCGGGTTGCGGGTGGGCCGCGAGCGGGTCGCGGGGTGGACCGCGGGTGGGTCGCGGTTGGGCCACGGGGCGGGTCGCGGGTGGGTCGCGAGGTGGGTCGCAGATGGGTCGCCGGCCGGGTCGCGGATGGGTCGTGGATGGGTCGAGGGTGGGTCGCGGGTGGGTCGCGGGTGGGTCGCGAGCGGGTCGCGGGGTGGATCGCGGGCGGGTCGCGGATGGGTCTCGGGGCGGGTCGCGGGTGGGTCATGAGGTGGGTCGCGGGCGGGTCGCGGGCCGGGTCGCGGGTGGGGGGCGACGACAACAACGACGACAACAAGCAGAATCCTCACCGCGGATCCGCACTTCAGCCGCGCGCCCAGGGACGCTGAATGACCGTTCGCCCCCTCGCGCTCTGATCAGCGAATGTTTCCATCCCGTCCTAGCCGCCACCTGCACCCTGTTCATCGCCTATCCGTGAGTCTCCGAAACCTTAATTCACGGAGCGTCAACCCTAGCCCGATCCGCCCCAGCAAGCGACGCAGCCTCTGAGGCACCGGCAACGCGCTCTT